GGCTTTTTTTTTTTTTTTAATAGACAGGGTCTTGCTGTGTTGCCCAGGCTGGAGTCCACTGGTGCAATCACAACTCACTGTAACCTCGATCTCCTGGGCTCAAGCATCCTCTTGCATCAGCCTCCCATGTAGCTGGGACTACAGGTGCGTGATACCATACCTGGCTAATTTTTAAAGATTTTTAAATTTTGTAGACATAGGGTCTCACTTTGTTGTCCAGGCTGGTCTTGAACTTCTGGCACCAAGGGATCCTCCTGCCTCAGCCTCCCAAAGCACTGTGATTATAGGCATGAACACAACACTTGGCCTATATTTTATATTAATAGTTTGATTGTTTTGTTTTTGATCATTTAAGCCTTTAATTCAGTTGGAATTCTGTTTTTTTGAGTCGAAGTGTCACTCTATCACTGAGGCTGGAGTACAGTGGCACACTTATGGCCGCTGTAACCTCGACCTTCTGGGCTCAGGCGATCCTTCTACCTCAGCTTTCCAAGTAGCTAGAACTATAGGCTAATTTTGGATTTATTGTAGAGATGAGTACTTATTAAGTTGCCCAGGCTGGTCTCGAACCCCTGGGCTCAGTCCTCTCGCCTTTGCCTCTCAAAGTGATGAGATTACAGGCATTAGCTACCAAGCCTGGCTGGAACTTCTTCTTTTTTTTTTTTTGAGTTGGAGTCTCACTCTGTCGCCCAGACTGGAGTGCAGTGGCCACTCCCGGCCACCGCAGCCTCGACCTGCTGGGCTCCAGCTATCCTTCCGCCTCAGCCTTCCGAGTAGCCGGAATTACAGGCATGTGCTACCACGCCCTGCTGATTTTTTGATTTATTGTAGAGATAAGGTCTCGCCAAGTTGCCCAGGTGGGTCTCGAACCTGCGGGGTCAGGCAGTCCACTCACCTCAGCCTCCCAGAGTGCAGAATTACAGGCTGAGCCAACCGAGCCCGGCTAGGAATTTATTCTTAAATGCAGTATAAGCTATGGTTCTCACTTCAAGAAAAATTATTTACAAGATGTGTAGAAATCTGAGCAAAAATATGAAAAGATGAAGAGATGTGAAATAGTCAATACACAAATAAAATCCTCAGTCCCCATAGCAGGCAGGAAATACAAATTAAAACAGTTAAGTATTGCCATATTGGCAAAAACTATATCCAGTGTTATTGTGGATATGTTATCTCATACGTTGCTGGTGAATAATTTAGCAATCTCTACTAACTTAAAATATATAGTCAGTACACCTAATTTGGGGACTCTAACCTATGGATTAAAAAAATCTGTAAGGCTGGGCTTGGTGACTCAGCTTATAATCCCAGCACTTTGGGAGGCTGAGGCGAGTAGAAGATTGCCTGAGCCTGCGGATTTGAGACCAGCCTGGGCAACTTGACAAGACCTCGTCTCTACAATTTAAAAAAAAAATCTGTAAACAAATTGAGTAACTGCTAAGAATCCTTGACTAACAGGTGCATATATGTTTTTATGAAATATGCAACTGTTAAAAAGGATGAATGAAATCTGAGTGAGAAATTTGAATGAGATTTGCTCATGGATATATTAAGAAGTGGGAAAAAATCTGCTGATCACAGTGGCTCACACCTATAATCCCAGCACTTTGGGAGGCTGAGGTGGGAGGATTGCTTGAGCACAGGAGTTTGAGACCAGCCTAGGTAACATAGAGAGACCTCATCTCTACAAAAAATAAAATTAACTGGGCATGGTGGCGCATGCCTGTAGTCCCAGCTACTCAGGAGGCTGAGGCAAAAGGATTTCCTGAACCCAGAAGCTTGAGCTGTGATTGTACCACTGTACTCCAACCTAGGCGACAGAATGAGACCTCAATTCAAAAAAAAAGTGGAAAAAAATGAAGAGTATTTATTATTATACTTTTGTAAATAAAGTAAATAAACAAAGGACTTCAGTATATCTATTGATTCTGTACATGGATGGGTATTTGCTGTGTGATGTGAGCCTAGGTGGAAGTATAAAAGGACATATACCACCAAGCTGTTAACATTGGTTACGATAGGAAGATGGAATTGGGCAAGATGTATTTCGTGGGAAAGGGAATGATGGCTTTTCCTTTTTTTTTTTTTTTTTGAGTTGCAGTCTCACTCTGTCACCCAGGCTGGAGTGCAATGGCATGCTCACAGCCACCGCAGCCTCGGTCTGCTGGGCTCAGGCCGGTGGTTTTTCTTATGAGACTTTTTATTGTTTGTTTTTTCTGAGTTGTAGTCTCACTCTGTTGCCCAGACTGGAGTGCAGTGGCATGCTCCTGGCCACTGCAGCCTCGACCTGCTGGCCTCCAGCAATCCTTCCGCCTCAGCCTTCCGAGTAGCTGGAACTACAGGTGCGTGCTACCACGCCCGGCTAATTTTTGATTTATTGTAGAGATGAGGTCTCGCCAAGTTGCCCAGGCGGGTCTCGAACCCTCGAACTCAGGCAATTCACTCACCTTGGCCTCCCAAAGCACGGGATTACAGGCTGAGCCACCGAGCCTGCCGGCTTTTTATTGTTTTACCTGCTGTTAAAACATGGGGCTGGGTGTGGGGACTCACACCTGTCATCCCAGCTACTTGGGTGGCTGAGACAGGAGGGTTGCTTGAGATCAAGAGGTCAAAGCTGCAGTGACATGGGATCATGTTCCTGTAGTCAGCCTGGACAACAGCGTGAGATCCTATCTTTAAAAAAAAAAAAGGGATGACTTTTGGTCATTAAAGAAAAAAAGGACTGGGTGCGGTGACTGAAGCCTGTAATCCAGCACTTTGGAAAGCTGAAGTGAGAGGATTGCCTGAGCCCAGGGGTTTGAGACCAGCCTGGGCAACTTGGTGAGACCTTGTCTCTACAATAAATAAAAAGTTAGCTGGGTGTGGTGGTACACGTCTTTAGTTCCAACTACTTGGAAGGCTGAGGCAGAAGGATTGCCTGAGCCCAGCAGGTCGAGGCTGCAGTGACCATGAGCATGCCACCACACTCCAGCCTGGGTGACAGAATGAGACAACAACTAAAAAAAACCCAAAACTTAAAAAATATAGATAAGCAAAAGTAATAAAAACACTCTCCCTATCAGTACCCACTTGTGAATATCTTGATTTATTATATTCTTTCATGTGTATAAAATCAGGTTCTTACTATATATACTGTTTCATAACCTGTTTTAAAATTTTTCATAATGAATTTTCAAGTAGTAAGTTTTCATGCACAACATAATTTGTCATGGCTGAAGTCTGTCTCCAGTTTAAGTCATTGCCATTTTATATCATTATAAACTGTTGTAGGTGTATATAACCTTGCAACAAAATGATTACTGTCACATCTTTAATTTTTTTCTTCAAACAGATTCTTAGCAGAATTGCTGATTTCAAGCTTTTAATTTTAAAAAAAAATTTAATTTTTGAGTAGGCGTTTCACTCTGTCCCCCAGGCTGGAGAGCAGTGGCACAGTCACAGCCACTGCAGTGTGGATCTACTGGGCTCAGGCAATCCTTCCACCTCAGCCTTCCAAATAACTGGAACTACAAGCACATACCACCATGCCCAACTAATTTTTTGATTTATTGTAGAGACGAGGTCTCACCGGGTATCCCAGGCTGGTCTTGAACTGTGGGTTCAGGCAATCCTCTCGCCTCTGCCTCCCAAAATACTGGGATTACAGGCATGAGCCACCACACCCAGCTAAAAAAAAATTTTTTTTTTTACCAGCCTGGACAACATAATAAAACCCTATCTCTATTTTAAAAGTTAGTCAGGTGCGATGGCTCATATTTATAGTTCCAGCTACTTGGAAGGCTGCAGTGGGAGGATCGCTGGAACCTAGGAGTTGGAGGCTACAATGAGCTATGATGGCTCTACTGCACTCTAGCCTGGGCAACATCGAGACCTTGTTTCCAAAGAAAAAAATGTTTTTGA